TTCTACTCCCGTAAAGATTTACACCCTCGGAAACCCTGTACAGGGTCGCTATGGGTCGGAACCGACTCAACGGCACTTAACAACAACAACAACAATTTCTTTCTACTGACAGTTTTTATTTTCATTTCCTTTATTGTTGTTGATTTTATGCTTGCTGAGTCTTTTAAAATATTTTTCTATTGTGTGTGTTTATTAATTTTCTTTGTGGTTATTTTGAATTTACCTTTCTCTACCTAAGTTTAAAATAGTCTATAATATTTTGATATCACCTTGACTTTCTCTTCATGCAGAAAACCTAAATACGCCATTTATTCCCCCTTTATGGTTTTGAAGTTGCCATCATTTAAATATTGACCTCTGTTGTTCTCTGTTTCAGCTTTGCAGCTTGATTTTACATTTGAGGATTTTTATCTATGTTGGTATCTGAGTGATATTCTCATATGTTTTATTCACAAGTTGTTGTCCATCTGTGTCTGGTGGACGTCCTTGAACATTTTTTGTAACGTTGGTTTGGTTCTTACAACTTCTCTTAATTTGTATGTATCTGGGAATGCCTTAGTTTCATCAGCATATTTGAAATAAATTTTTCTGTACATATGATTTTTTATTGGTAGTTCTTTCCTACAGGGTTTTATATATGACTATGCCATCTGGTAGTGTAGTGGTTATGAATCAGGCTGCAAACCTTAAGGTCAGCAGTTTGAAACTACCAGCTGGTCCGCTGGAGAAAGATGAGCCTTTCTGCTCCTGTAAAGCTTGACAGCCTCGGAAACACTGTACAGGGTTGCTATGGGTCGGAACTGACTCAATGGCACTTAACAACAACAAAAAATGCCATCCTAGTTTCCTCCTTCCTGCATAGTGTCTGTCAAGATGTCAGTGCTCAATCTTTTTGGTGCCCTGTTTAGTTAATATTTTGTTTTTCACAAGCTGAATTCAGAATTCTTTGTTTCCTTTGGTTTTGGAAATTTTGATTATGATATGTTTTGGTGACTTTCTTTTGAGAGCTATCCTGTATGGGGGTTCATTGATCTTCTAAATTGGAGAACGCATTTTTCGTGATATTTGGGGAGTTTTCTGTCACTAAATCTTCAAAAATGATCACTGTGCTTTCATTTTCTCTCCTCTTGTTACAGAATTCTAATTACACATAAGTTAAAATTTCATCTTGATACTGTCCCATATAATTCTTAGTATTTCTTCATTTTTATTCATTCCATTTTCCAATTATTCCTCAGATTAGTGTTGTCCATAGCTTGTCATGATCAAAGCCTTTGTGTAGTCAATAAAACACAGGTACATTTTTCTGGTATTCTCTCCTTTTAGCCAAAATCTGTCTTAAATCAGCATTGATAGCCCTTGCTCCACGTCCCTGTCTGAATCCAGCCTGAACCTCTGGCAGCTCTCTGTTAATGTACTGCTGTAGCAATTTTTGAATTATCTTTAGCCAAATTTTACTTGCATACAATATTAACAATATTGTCCAATGGTTTCTGCATTCTGTTGGGCCCCCTTTCCTTGGGATGGGCACAAATGTGGAGCTCTTCTAGCTAGTTAGGAGGTAGCTGTATTCCTAATTTCTTGCCATAAATGAATAAGGACCTAGAGTGTTGGCCCAGTTTGTTGAAAGATTTCAGTTTGCGTTCCATCGATTTCCAGAGCTTTCTTCTTTACCCATGCGTTCAGTGCCATTTGGACTTTTCCTTCTGTATCATTGGTTCTTGATCATATGCTACCTCTTGAAATGTTTGAACATGACCGTTTCTTTTTGATACATTGACTCTGTGCATTCCTTCTATCTTCTTTTGTTACTTTCTGCAACATTCAATATTTTGCCCATAGAATCCATCAGTATTTCAAGTCGAGGTTTGAATTTTTTCTTCAGTTCCTTCAGCTCGAGAAATGCTGAGCCTGTTTTCCTGACCTTATATTTGCAATTATTAAATAATTCTCCCAAACAATAATGTTCAACAAGTTGCTAATTAGTGAATATTTTAATCCTGCAAGAAAATATTTTATTCTGTAGAGCTAATGAAAGTGATAAGTTTTGCTTTACCCTTCAAGAAGTAATTCTGTAAGTTCTAATGTAGTGATGAGAAAAAAGTAGGCAGAGCTAAAAATTAACTAGGTTTCAGTCAGCTGAACTGTGGAGAAAATGCAACAATAGAGGAAATTCAAAAATAAATGAACTATAGTGACATAGAACATAGTAATTTATTTTAAAAAGCCATGGGGGGAATCATTAGATAATATCCAACTTGTGCTTAGACACCAGCAATGAAATTTGAGACTATTGGCACGACAAATCCTGTTTCAGAACGTGTTGACTTAGATTTCCTTGCACAATCAGAATTTGCCAAAACAGGAAATGCATGTAATATATATATACTGCTCTAACCTTCTCTCACGATACCTGCATTCTTACAAATAGGAAACAGATACCCCATCCTGCTCTAAGAATAACAGTAAGTGCTAATTCCTTAATTTGAAGATGAACAGTTTATTATTCCAACACATTTTTATCTATCTTATCAATGGCAAATTTGTGAGATTTAATCAATTGTTCCGTGATTTTCAAAATTGTAATCATAACTTTTTATTGAGAGTAATGATTTTTAGTTATTACAGCTCCCTTAAGGTTAAGAAGATAGTATGTATTGATATTATTCCAAAAGCAATTTTATCCATTTGATATTCAAATTCACTCTTTACCTTTCATTCTAAGAAATAATAATAATTCAATTCTCATATGTGAGCATGTGATTTTTTTCAAACAATTGTACAGCAATTATCTTTAGTGGAGAATGAAGCTATGGTTATATGTATACTTTCACATTAATAACTAATATTAGCACTGCAGTTGTGCATGAATATATCACGTTATTAAACTAAGGATGGAAAGTTAATGCTAATAGCTTTCAATTGGCCAAAAGTATATTATAGCAATGACCTTCAGATCACAAATATTCTATTAAAGATTATCAACATTAAGATACAATGTCTTCCCCTTGACATGCACTCAAATAAATAGACAAGCATTAAAAAGTTTTCTGATTGGAAGTCAGTCTACCTACTTACATTTACACAGGCAATTTATATGTAGTCTCTGTTAAGTATATTTTATCTAAGGAAAAAATTTCACATAAAGCTTTATATTCTTCTGCTTTTAAGAAGTCATTTTAGAGAATCAAAACTTTGGAGACCACAGAAATTCTAATGACAATAGGTAAGGAATAATTCACCTCAGAAGGACGTATTTGCTTCCAAAAAACAGCTTTAATCTGCAACTGCTGAATGTCATCCAGGATGCACTAGGAGTTCTTTAACTATTGCTAGAGGTGATCTGGTGTTGCCTCTTCTGCTATTTTATACCTAAAACGGAATGTCTGCCTCTATGACTAAACATCTGAAGGAGGATCAAAAGTCATAAAATTGATGCCAGGATTTAAGCCCAGTAGCTACTCTACGATAGCCCATGAAGTAAAAGAGGTCCCTGGATTGAGCTCTTACTAGTGAAACTCAGGCAAAAACTGGAAAAAAAGAGCCCCAGATGTCTCCATTTTTTTTTTCAGTAAAATACTTCTATGAATTCTAGTGACATTATTTAGTATATTCAGGTATAGGAAAGTAATTCAAGTGTGGGGGTGTGAAAGGAAGGCTTTCAGCTCTTGACTGCTAACTAAAAATGTTGGCAAGTCAAATCCACCAGCTGTCTTGGGGAGAAAGATGTAGCAGTCAGCTTCCATAAAAATTATTGTTAAATGTCATGGAGTTAATTCTGACTCATAGCGACCCTGTGTAGGATTTCTGAGGAGCAGCTGGTGGGTTTGAATTGCTGACCTTTATGTTCCTCTGCATCTAAGAAGTGATTTTATAGAATCAGATATTTGGATTATAGTATTATTATTTTTTTCCTACATAATTCCTAGTTTTTAGTGATCTGAGTGATATTTTATCTTTTTAGTTGGGTGTTGTTGGCATATAGCAACGGCATTTTTGTAGGTTAATAATGAATCTAGCAAACTTCTTGATTATAGTGTAGTCTCTGGATAGATGGATTACATCATATAAAAATAAGAACAATTCTACCCCTTTCTTTATCGGATTTAACAAGTGTGACAGCAGTATGTCCCAGAGTAGCTACAGCATTGCTCATTTTTGTCTTGTTCCCAATGTTGAAGACAATGTACATCGTTTCTCTAATAACTGTCCTATTTTCCATAGAAATTTAATTTTCAATACATACCAAATTAATGATGATCTTTATTCTCCTTTTTTGTTGTTTTTGCTGTTATTAATTATTGTAGAAATTAAACTGAATAGCATGCTATCTGCCACATGACTTTTTTTTATTTTATGTGTTGAGTTTCACCAATTAATTTTAAATGCTAAATTATCCTTTCAGTCGTTTATAAACTCTACTTGATTATATTATTTTAATTGTATTTTTTTAATTGGTAAGTTAATACTCTATTAACTTATGAGATGGGCCTATGTATGATTGACTAGTATCCTTATATGCTCTAGAAATAATTTCCTGAATCATTTTTGTTTGCAGTCACTACTCTGCATGTACATTTAGGAAGAAACTACATAAAGAGGACTTTTGTGGTTGTTAAGTGCCATCAAGTCAGTTCCTAGTGATTGTGTATAGGGTTTCCAAGGAGCAGTTGATAAGTTTGAACTGTCAACTTTGTGGTTCAAATTGACCCTGCAGTCCAGTGCTTATCCTATAATGTCATACTATATGCTCCAACTCATAGCCGCCCTGTACGGGATTTCCAATGAGCAGCCAACCTTGCAATTCAAACCGACCTTGTGGTGCAGGTCTTGTACAACAGCACCACACCAAGAGTTGTATCATCACCCTGAATTTACAATCTTGTAATCTTGTAGATTAGAAAGGAATAGAGATATATGACTGTAATGACTTTGTAGAGTCACACATATATGTTTTCCTCTTTCTTCACACAGCAGAGTTTTTATGCTTCCCTGATGCTATCTTACTAACAGCTGGCACCAGGACAGTTGATCTGTTCTAGCACTGCAGCATTTTGCAATAAAGGCGTAGCCATGATTGTCTCGAAGCAAAAATAGGAACTAAAAATCTTTGCTCTGGCTATAGCAGCCACCACTACCACTCCTCCACTGCACACTCAACAACATACACACACACAGAAGAATATGAAAGACTTAATTGTATTCAGATTTCCTCACTATTTTATGTTCTTCCTTGGAATCCATGTTTCTCTCTTGCTTCCATCATTACTTCAGAATTAATTTGAGGCTAATATTAAGATGCCTCCATATATTTTTTACATCCAGATATCATTAGAAGTCCAAATGCTTGCTCTTAATGCACTCTTAGCTATTAAGCAAATTGCATGTACTTTGTAATTTGCAAAGTGATATATAT